AATCACAAACAACGTCCAGCTACAATTAGGCCTCCTGAGACCGGGGCGAGAGGATGTGCTTTGTCGGAGCGCCTCGCGTAGGACTCCGCTGCCAAACCTGGAGATGGTTCGCACCGAGAGAGATCTCCATGCATCACACAGAATCGCTAATGAACCATCTGTCTAAACCTCCTCCCGTAGCCGGTCTCCAAGCTGCTGCGGTACAGTACGTTGCCTTTCGGTAAGAATCCCGTCTCTCTTCACCTGGAAGCACCAAACAGAGGCAGCCTCGTGGTGTAGCTTGGTCAAAATGAGAGGGAATCGGTGTCGGGTTTTAGCTGTGCAGAAGGACGCCGGCAGAGACGGTGCGAGCAAATGAATGATGAAGGTTTGCCTACCTGTGTGTGTGTGTGTGTGTGTGTGGGTGAGACAGTGGGTGGACGGATGGGTGAGCTTTCAACTAGTTGGAGAGGAAGACATATTGTGCTGATTTGACGGCATCGTCCCCATCAGGATTTGCTTCACATGCCGACAGCATATTTGTGGGAATCATCATATCGTGCTGATTCCCGTCAGTAGATTCAGTCGTACAGTGCCTAGTTACTACAAATCATGTTCTTTTTAACCAGTGAGACATGACACCAAAGGCATTCCTGTGCTCCTGCTATCAAGAATATTGATTAAGACCTTGGTGTGACTCAGTCACTTCATTATCTTACGAGAGTTCTTATTTACTTACAGCGCTCTTAGTGGGGCTGGAATTCTCTGACGGCTTGGCTGGAGAACAATCCGTCTCCTCATATGCATATTGAGGTCTCCCAAGATCCATCACTGTCTATTGTTATTATTAGTTTTGGCATGAAAAAAAAACTCATTTAGAAATCAGAGTTGGATAATTAAATAAACAACCAAATCCCCTCGCGGTGGGTAGAGTGCAGCGGATGGCGAGATGTGGGTCTGCAGGCAGGAGGCATTTTCCATGACGCTAACTTTGCACAAAGGCCTTGATCTCTGTTTTAGAGACTTAGGACACTCTCGCTCTGTGTCTCCGTCGGTTTTTCCATTTTCCTTTTTTCAGTCAATCTGTCCGTATGTTTAACTCATCAAGGGTATCCGTTACACCTCCGCGTGACAAATACCTTCATTTCCCTCCCAGGTACGGCAAAGGTGTAATTAAGCAGCAACCGAAACCTTCATACCCTCATGTCAGATACTTTGCATTCATCGTGGATAGAAATAGAGAACAGCTCTTGTGCTTTAACAAGCAGACATCCTTCTAGGTTCTGGACTTTTTTATTGACTATCAACAGCTAGCTTGGTGGTGTCCCCCAGTGACCGCCAACAGCAGCTCTCCTGAGGTCCTCAAGGATAACCGCCTCCCCGACGCAGAAACAAAAAGATTGTAACAACCGAAACTGTGTTACTTTCAACAGAAATATGTTGATGTCATAGACTTATCAAGAGAAAAAATACGCTTTTAAAGGGCTTTGCTTAAATACTAATGAAGCAAACATGTTTCTTGTCGTGCACAACAATTTTGTGTTTCCTAAACATAAATACAGCAATCCATGTCTCCTGTAATGTTGCTGTAGAGCCAATTTCCCCCAAGCAGGTGTATTTGTGTTTCATTTTGAGCCCTCTGCTGAAAGTACCAATCAAAGCTCAAAAGATATAGAGACACATGAATTGTAGGGTCCACAACACGTTTATAAATATAATGTAGGTGTGTCAACACAAATACACCTGAGAGACCGACCCATGAAAAATGTAAGTGGTTTCTCAGTCGGGGCCTATTAAATCTAATTTAGAGTTTCCAAACGCATCTGAGCATCCGAGCATCCGAACCATTGGAGTCACTTTGGAGCTCACACCTCAACTTTGCACATTCACCAGTCGCGCCATGTGTTATCTGTGCAACCGGTGACACCAGGCTGAGGGGAATAACGCTTTCAGTCTTTAAAACACACACATAGATAACTGGTGCTGCAGTGGCTATGCAAACAATCCTTCATGACAGATGTACGCAGTGACATAAAGGATGTAAACCCTTGATTCATTCCAATTTCAGCGTCGCATGGAGCAAACCTGTTCTACCAATAGGGAAATTAAACCCACTCTAATAATTTTGATCATTATCAAGCAACGAAATTCATTTCATTTCTACAAATAAATCCCATCAAATCCATCACACTGGTCACTCAAACCTACGTTTCAGCTCTGCAGTCATTGTTATTCTAAATTCCTAAAGTACAGCAGAATCCTTTCATGCACACCTTAAGAGGATTACACTGTCTTGTATATTGGAGAGCAATTATCGCGCGGAACTCAGCGTCGAGCCGAAAAACGTGAAACAAATCGATTGTCCCATATTTCTCCTAATTACAACAGCTGCGATCAATGCTGCATGTGTTGTTGTGTCCAATTACTTCCTTGACCAAATCCCAGCCGTCCCCTTGCAGTGGAGCTGCAGCTCAGCAAACGAGCTGCCGCCTAATGGTCCGGAACATTTATCAACGATGCAGAGGTGCATTGTGGAGTAGACATATTTATTACCAAGTCATTAGCAACATCTAATCCCAAATTCATCGCTATAATTTGATTTCCGACATTGAATGATAACAGTGGTTTACACATGTTTCACTGTTGTGCTGTAAGCTATAATTAAGAGCATGCAATTTCTCACACTTCAGTGTCTCAGAGCGTGCACTGTGGTTCAATACTCATTGAAAAATATATGTATCATTCTTAAACCATGCAGCAAATAATTTACCAATTATTCAGTAAAAGGGAGTGCCCTTTTTGCATAATGGTAGAAATAAAGATCTTGCAATTAAGCTCCATAATCTTTGTTCATTCAATAAGTGCTAATAAAGAAAAAGAGACAGACTTGTTTACATACAGGTGTTGTTTGTTACGTTGGCTTTTTCCTGTGATAAACTAGAAGGCTTCGATCTTGATCCGACTTCGATTAATACAATAAAGCCAACCTCAAGGTGAGAATGCATAAAGGACGGAATGCTCCAAATAATCCCTGCCCACACACATGCAAGAACACACACACACAATACAGATTACTCCAAAACTAATGGACTATTTTACTTTCTTGAGTTCAGATTGATGTAAAGTCCCTATAACATTTTGTCACGTATACCTTTCATACCAACACTAGAACAGAATCATCTATTGAGGCCTTTGCCTCGGCTAAACCTGTCAGTTTAGGTTCATGTTTGTCCAAAACGTCACGGTGACCTCGACCTTTGACCAGTACAATTGAATCAGTTCGTCGCCGTGTCCAAGTTTAAAGCCGTTCCCTCCCGGGCGTTCTTGGGATATTGCTGTCAAAAGAATTGCACGTACGCACGTGGACGAACCGACAGCCCAAAAACACGACGGCCTCTGCCGAGGCTGTCGGCGGGGCAGGGGCATAAAAGGAAAGACTGTCACGAGCGAGACACAACAAAAAAAACAAAAAATTATTCATTGTGCAAATGAATCAAATTATCGCTCAGCTGTTCTTTCCATGCATTTAACCATGCATGGATTTAAAAAAATGAATTTCACACTAGTTCACCCCACTTGAACATGTTTAAATCAAATGAATGTTGATTTCACACAGAAAACAACCATTGAAAGTGAAAACCTTTACAGGGTGAAGACTTTATTTGACAAAGGGGGTGTTGTTCTATTAAAACCTTTGGAGGGGGGGGATACATGTTCATCCATTGTAGCTTTAGCAATTCTGACTTTTTTTGGAAGATTTGCAGCTGAGCAAAGCTTTTTCTTCCAACATACCTCTAAAAAAGGCAGCTGACTCATCAGCGAAGCTGTGTGTGAGAGGAATTACAATCAAGCTCTTCATTACCTTGAGGCCAGTTGCGGGGGGTAAATTGTGGAAGGATGAACAGGTTGGCCGACATTAAAGCTCATCCTCATCTGAGTAGTTCAACTACTGCCTGCTGGCCACCATCCTAATTCTTTTCTGATGGCCTCAGTGGGAAAGATCGATGCCCGAAGGCTTTTGACGGTGTGTGTGTGTGTGTGTGTGTGTGTGTGTGTTGGTTCCAAAATGCTCTATTCACACAGCTCTCCCTCCCTCCTAATTTAGAGCGCACCTGTCATGCACCTGTCATTGCACACACACTGGTTGCTTCATGTTTTCTCTTACAGGGTTTCAGCAGACTCTCTCTCTCTTAAGATAAGCAGGTACTGTGTGCCACTAATGACATATCTTCAGATATTATATTGAACTTTTGGGGGATTTCTAAAGAAAATAATCTTGCTTGTAGCTGACAAAAATGTGAGAGAGAATATCCTGCTGGTATGAGGAGGTTTGGTTGACAACAAGCTTCGTGTTGACTTTGTTTGGAGGTTAGTTATTTCATAAAAGAGCCACTCCCTTTCACCTCTACTGTGTCCAGTCCCTCCCTACACATGTCATAAGACGTCCAATATGGACACGATTACGCTTTTTCTCTATTGTTTGGTGTCAATAATCTTGTGTATAATGGCCTTAAAGCATACACTGAACTCTTTATCACATTTTTATGGCACACACACACACACACACACACACACACAGCTCGTTCAGCTCCAAAGAATTTTAAACCTGTCCTGATACCGTTGCACTTTTCATTGGTATTTTAAGCAAGGCGTTGTGAGGTCTTAGAAGTCAGATGGCATTAATTCCTCTGAGTCGGAACGGTTCAGCTCCTCCCTGGAAAGAGGATTAAAACGAAAGTTCTCCTGCCTCCAAATGACTTAATTCCCACTTTCACACATCTATTTTTTTCTTAATTACTCATTGGAGATGGGAACAATAATCGAGTGTCAATACGGTCTGTTCTTTTTAACGTCTGATAGTTAATTTAATCATTATTTAAATGTATGGTTCGTATGTGAATCTGACTAAACAGAGGTGCTAACTAATTGGCTCGTGGTTTTCCATAATTGTAGGGCAACGGCGTGTCAGGCGTGGAGGTGGATGCATAATCCAATTAAGGCGAAAAGAAATACAATGAAACTGAGGTGATTAATGCTGCTTTGTTAAAAAACATTACATTTAATGGACACGTGAGTGGTCGTGTATCACAAAACAGAACGATTTTTCTGATTAAATTAGATAAGAAGCATAAATTAACTGATATTTTCTTAATGTACACTGAGGTGCAGAGGTCTAAAGTTCCTCAAATGAACTTCTCCATCCGCATCACACTTATCCTCGCCAGCTTGGAGAACCAGCGGTTGGCGTGTGTGTCGCTGTGGGACGCAGTTTGAACAAAACCCAATTTTTGGTACAGCGCGATGGCTTCCTTCTGCGGCGAGCTGACGTCCAGCACGAGGCGGGCGTGTCCCCGCTCTTTGCAGAAGTCCAGGGCCTTCTTCGTCAGCTGCGAGCCCAGGTTTTTGCGCCGCCACGGAAACGCCACGACCACGTGGGACATCTCGCCGTAGCTCCCGTCGGCGGCGTCTCGGGCGACCTCATCCTCCTTCTCCTCGTCCTCCTCCCCTCCTCCTCCCGCCGCTCCCGCGTCCGGGTCGCGGAACCTCTCACCTTCCGCCCCTCCCTCTTTCCCGGTCACCGCCATGATCCCCACCAGCTTGGACTGGCCGCCGACGTCCGCCTCCGCCACCCAGAAACCGCTGTCTGGGTTCTCCAGGTAGTTGGCTGGAATGTCCGCCATGTCCGCGCTCAGCCTCCTCTTGGCGTAGCCCTCGTAAATCTCCTGGCAGCAGTAGTAGGTGAGGCCGGCCCACGCGCCGCCAAAGAGCACGGCCTGGAAGTAGGAGCTGCCTCCGAGAACGTAACCGGCCATGGAAATGCTCAGAGCAATGCCAACGTGGTCCGGGTGGCTCATGGCCTTGAAGAAAGCCGGGTACACGTGTTCGCGTATGCCGTCGTGGAAGAGCGCCATGACGGCGCGTTGATCCGAGGGTCTATATTCCCTGATGGAGAACGGAACTGCGTGTGTGAGAGGGAGATGAAGAAAGACAGAGAGAGAATGAGGGCTCAGTGAGACTAATCTGACCCTCGTGGCGATGAGAAATTCCTGCTGGATTTTGCAAAGGACTCAATACGCTCACATGATTTGTTGTCAAATATAATCAATCAACACCTCTTACGGGATTTAAAACTTTTCATTTCTAATTTAACAGCTTCGCAGGAGGATAAAGCATGGCACAGTACGACCTGAGGTAAAAATCATTATGAAATGATATAGGATTTCAAGATATTAGAAGCAATGCAATTATGTCTCAACGGTGCCAAAGAATGGAAATCAGATCACAAACTGAGGAAACAAAGAAAAGGTCCTCAGTGGAAACAGGTTACGTGTCATGTTTGCACGTTAGTCGTACCGTCTCCTGCACAGCAGCTCTCTTATAAGATCTCTCATTCGTAATAAACGCAAATACTGATACATTATCATAAGCAGAACATCGACTTACAGTTATTTTTCTGGGCCATGCCGACTCTCTCCCCCACGTCCTGCGCTCACTCTGAAGGACTTAACACTGCTGCCCCAGAACTTAAGCCGCAGATTGTGATAATCATCCATTCACAAAAGGGGTTGAAATTAGTCTGAGCAGGACCCCCCACATGAACACACACAGAAACCCCCCCTGAAAACTTGTGGACCTCAAATGACTTTGAAGTACAAAATACACTTCTGATTGTTAAACATATTGATTGTAATGGAGCTTCAATAGTGAGGTAAAAATAATGGTGATTTCAGGGAGCGTGTTCTCGGTTTAATTGAAATAATCAGTGCTTTGATTATGAAACATGAAGTACCAAAAAAATATAACTCTATCATGGATTTCCCGAGAAAGATGAGCACAGATCCTGAATATATTAAGTCATACTACTGAGCGGAACGAGAATCCTGCGCTTTTACGAGCAGATATTTCCAGGAATAAAATGTCATTATTAACCTATTTTTCAGTGCTTCAGTTTAGGTGGCGTTCTCTCAGGAAACGGCTGTGGATCTCCACATGGCCTCTTCCCCAGGAGGTGAAAGTAAAATTAATATCGTCAAGCCCCCCCCCCCCGACATAAAGCGTCCTGTGGCGTCAGCGGCAGTGTCTTGTGCAATAACCCGGTGGACCTCTGACATGATTAAATTTCCGTGGCAGGAGAAGGGGCCTTTCCACCTGTTTAAATCAATAGTGCTGCCTCATGAATCCGTGAGCGACAGAAGGTCAAGCATCTCTGCAAGTTTCTCAAGACTTTTTTTTACTCTCACAATTCTGCACAATTCAAGTGAAACCGGCTTGGAAAACCATGTGTAATCATATTTGGTATGTTAGTTCTTGTGTTTGCACTCAAAAGGCAGTGTGATATAAAACTAAAGTCCTTCATAGCCACTCGCAGACGTGAACCCATTAAAACAAATATGATGCCAATCTGACCGGTTGGGCTCATTTCTTAATGAGTCACCTTTACTGTGAATTCACATTACTTAAAATCAATTCATGAACATGTTCAAATATGTTTAATACACTGTCACAGGTGATATTAATTTAACTTCATATGAGCAGCTAAGAGTGCTTAAGAGTTGATCACATGATGTCTTCAAACAAAAACTCCCAAAGTCAAAGTTGCCCTGGAAACGAACCGCTGAAGGCTAAACTTTTAACGGGCTCACGAGTGCACAATGAAGTGCATTTTTCATTCATGGACTTCATGTACTTGTTTGTAGGAGAAAGAGCCTTTTCATTACGCTTGTGACAGAGCCACGACAGGATTAAACCATTACATTATTGAATCCCCCCCCCCACATGTCTTGGTGACTAGCCAGCATTTGAATGCACCTCCGACAAATTCATTTCCCACCTACTGCCTCATCAGGAACTCCTAATTTAAACCGAATTTCCTTGTGGCTTTTTGTAGCTCCAAGGTGCATTAACACAACTAAAACACTCCCTAGTAATCTCCATTTAATTCCAGACCTCTTTCATTGTTATAGTACTGCGTTTGCTCTTGTTTCGTATGTATTATGTATGGAAGTTCCCCGGTGGATATTGAGTGGGAAGTAGGATCACAAGTGTGGTCCGTGAGAGCGGAAGCCTTTTCAGGATTCAGTGATGCCCCCTCCTCCCGGTGCAGGACATACGGTATCTGTGGAGAACGGGAACGAAACGCCGTGCTGCACAACTTCGATCAGGTCAATTTCTGCAAACGTAAAGAATCTTTATGCTGACTGAGTTTAGATCTCTGTTGGAGTCAATGGGACAAACTACTTCTTTTACATGATGTATCATTAGATTCACTCTATTCTATATAGATAAATGTGCCGGCATTCAAAACTATATTGACTTAAGGTAAAGGAAAAAAGCATATATATATATATATATATATATATATATATGTATGCTTTTTTCCTCAATGGGGGGGTAAGTCTGCCCATAATTGGGGATATGATTTTGTCAACATTATCTAGTAAGTAAAAAAATGTTGTGCAGAAGGTTTCATTATTAGTAAGTAAAATGTGTTTCATGTTGTTCGTGGCCATGTTGAGTCCCTTGGCTGCTTCTAGTCTTTGTGCTAAGTTAAGTTGCTGACTTCATATTTATGTTACAGACTATAGAGTGCAAGAGTAGTTCAAAAGGAAAAAAAGCACATTTATATACTAAAATATATAGTATATCAAACTGCCCTGTTAAGATTGTATAGTTGTTTTAAGTCAACGGTGACTTTAAGCACTAGACAGCACTAGCACTTTAAGCACTTGTTTTATGGTATTCTTACATGACATTACATTACATCATTTAGCTGCCGCTTGTATCGAAAGCAACTTACAAAAAGTGCATTTTAACCATAAGGATACAAACTCAGAAAAGAAAGAAACAAGAAAGTGCAATTTCATCAAATAAGCCAATTTAAAACTTTTAAGTGCCATTATATGTACAGTTTAAGTGCTATAATTTGAGTGTATTCTTAGTTTGTCGCACTCCATCTTTGTCAGGGCTGAGACACTTAGCTCACTGTAAACAGACACACTTGATTTTCTTGCCTCAAAGTGAAAATCTCAGGTAATTTTCACAAAATAACAGGATGTCAGAAAGGCTAAACATCCCAATAAAAATGGTAGTACTTTAAAATCTGACTGAATAATAACAGAAAGCTGTCAAGACGCATATGCTGTGGGAAATTGATGGTAAATTGTAGAGAATGCACAAACTCTGGATGATCAGTGCTTGATAATAACAAGCTGTCCTTTAAATACTCCGGTGATATGAAATTGTGGAAACATAATCCTGGAATCTCTGTTATTATATTCTATATATATTCTAATATTTTGGCCTTTGAGTGGTTCTGCAGCGAAAGTGAAAATGGGGACTTTTTAATAAAATATACAGTATATTGTATATAGTGTTTCCCGATAAGATGCCACTGTGATCTATTCCGTTGATAGTTTCCATTTGCACTGAAAGCTTCTTTACGTTTGTGAATCCTTTAGAAAGGCAACAATTTTATGACGGTCCATTAACACTTTACAGAAAGATCAAGTCACATCACTGGAAACGATTTTATTATATGTACTTAACTATAGTATGTATAGTATTTGACAATCAGCAACAATGTGCTGCACTTCTAAATAAATAATATATGGAGAGACAGCATGATTCTAGTTAAGGCTCAAGGTCTGGATGCATATTTGTAAAGTTGTTAATAAACATACATTTTCCTTCATTCTGAGAGAAGACTTACAAAAAAAGCTAAATGCAAGCAGCAAACTTACCTTAAAAAAATGATTTCACGTGGGTGTATTTGTTTCACTTTACAGTGCGAGGGCAACACAAATGGGGCACGTATTCATGCACTGAAAGAATATTACATGTCTGCTTTGTAAAATTGTTGTTAATTGTATCTTAATAAACTCCAAAAACAAATAATGCAAAGAAAGAAATCCCTAAGTAAAGGGGGTCTGCTTGCTCTTCCCCTGAATACAGATTGAACCACAACAAAAGGCTTTTCAGCAGGACGTTATTGTGGCTCAGGCTCCCTGGGGACGGTTGGGTCAGAGAAGAAGCTGCAGCAGCAGCAGCAGCCTGAAACTAAACTCCATCCATCACACTTAAAAAGCGGCCCACCTCCACCTAGAGCAACAGATGTGGCAGGAGCTGCTGGGGGGATTACACAGGGATTTTCTAGGAAGATAAAGCCGTGAATGCCTCCGAATTGTCTTGTTTTTCATTAGTCACTGGTGTCGTTAAGTGTTGATTATGAACTCAGAAGAACACGAGTCCCCGCATGGCTGCAGGCAGCGGCACCTTAAAGGGAAAGCAAAGGATTGAGTGCTGAGGATGAAATGAAAGGCAATGAAAAGGTAAATAGAGGACCGGTACTGTACATGTAGATGGTCACAGAAAGTGTGTCACGTACATTATAATTGGGCTAAACAGGAATTCCGTAATCACCACATAGTTTGAATTGAACGCGTTAACCTCGCTGACTTCAATTCTCCTCCCAGCTCCGGACTCATTCTGACACAGATTCTATCCCTGAAGGTTGTTTTTTTTACCATTCACCCATTTTATCTTCATCACTATTCATGTGTTCTTTCTTCCCATGAAATCAAACATTGTCATTTTGATTACTCCCCCATATTTGTGGTTAATGCAAGGCAACCGGATGGAATGCCCTGCTTCATGTAGGCACTAATCTTACACAGCTGTCGACGTGGAAGTGGAGTCTGCTGTTGGCAGTTTCAGTTATTTATTTTTTACGTGACGCGGTGGTGCTCGGTGCTCATTTAAAAGTAAATCCATCCTGTGTGACTGAGAGGATTTTTAAATGGACTCTGCCAAACTCTGTTCGAAAACTGGATTAGATGCAGAGAGGATCAGAGTGTAAAATGTTTCTCACAATGCAAAATGCACAAAAGCACGAGTCTATTGTCTCCTGACAAGGTGAAAGCACTGTTTGGAATGCAAATTAAACTGTGAGATTGAAAAGACACCGGAAAAAAACTAACTATATTATTCACTCTATTTTGGCTAATATCGCTAATTGTATGGGAGAGGCTCCAGTAGCATGATGGCATTTTATAAAGTAAACAGAACTAAATAAGCCACCATCACCCTGGCGTCCCGCTTCTCATCACAGCTGCACGGTAAAGTGACCTGCGCCCCAGCCAATTTAAACACTATACCAGCACTTCTGAGCGGAATTATAATTACTGAGACAGATGCACCAGCAACTGCTGCATCGTGTTGTCAGATGGTTTGGATCATTGGGGTCATGTCATTAGAAATTCAATTAAGATGAAATACCTGCATTTTTATCACCATATTTACAATGTCCCTCGCTACAATGGACACTGGTTGAAAATAAAAATATTCGGTTACAGTCCTCCATGTAGTGGCAATGTAGTAAACAATCATCCAATAACTCTGATAATACATGTTATAAATGCCTTTTGACGAAAGCATCCCTATAAAACGGGTCTGTTCATTAGGTTTGAAGCAAGAACCAGGATTTGATTAGCTTGATTAGCTATTAGCTTAGCTTAGTTTATCTTAGCTTAGCA